TTAGGATAAGGAAGGAATTTCTAACTGTTAGATCTGTCCCAAAATGGATTAACGTACTTTGCAAAAAAGGGAATACTTCATCACTTTAAGCGGCCAAGCAAAAAGTATATAATCTGCCAGGGCCTTGCAGAGAAATTATTACTGTGGGTGGATATTAGCATGAATGATCTGAAGAGTCTGTCCTGCCCTAAAATGCTGTGATTCTGTGATTCCTGAGTGATTGCTGCCTACCTCTTCAACATCATCATAATCTCTCTTTTCACTGACTTATCTTCTTTTCATTCAACATCTGATCAGCTCTCTCTTTGTTCTTGCTCCAATTATTCACATTTGCTCATGAGGTATCCTACAATCTGACTTCCATTGCTATCATAGCAGGAAAAAAATTCTTCTCTTAAAAGTGATAACCTCTTTGCTCTACTAGCTAATGGGCTTGCATTTATTTTCATTATTTTTGACTCTGTAGAGGTATTAACTATTCCATCCCCTATACCTTCTTGCTTCCTTTATTCCTAGTTCTTCAATTTCATCTTTTTTCTGACCGTTTTGCTTTTCTTCCACCCATAAATCATAGTGGTTTCCTAAGGCATTGATGCTTTTTATGTATAGGATTTTACTGCCATTTTTGGTGGTGGTATTAAGGTAATTGTTAAGTCCCTAACTACAATAAGATAATATCAGTGATGTAATTAACACAATGTCTTTGTAATTTCTCTGCAATGACTTGTTTGACAATACATATTTTGCAGTTGTTTAGGTTTATTTTCCTAGGTGAGTTGGAGAAATTACTTCAAATTTTATTATTTTCTAATGAACAGGTGGAAATGCTTCAAATTTTATTAAAAGAAAAGCTTATCTTGGAAGGACTTTACAGTATCACATCTTATATCATCAAAGAAACCGTCAATCCACATTACCAATGTTAAAATATTTTATTAGCCTTTGGATTTAAAATTAATCCAAGAATGGTGTCACAATCATGTACCTAGCATAGCTGAAAAGACCATGAGCCCTTCCCATGTCAAAATTTGACTTACATTTGTAGACACAAGCTGTTAGAAAGGTTTTTTTTAGAGAACTGAAGCTCTGTTTTCCAAGTCTACATAAAGCTTGTTATTAAAAGGAATCTCTCATCTCTTATTCAGTGGCCACTTGTACTGTTTACCATTATCCTATTCATACATTAGATTAATTAAAGCTCCCCTACTCTGTATCACAATGTTAGCCAACTTTGAAATGGTCCCCATTCAAATTCTTATTCCCCCTTCAAAATAACCAATACTGCAGTTAAGATACATGGTTGTTTTTCATTTTAGTGCCAAATAATATTCCATTGTCTGGATGTATCACAGTTCAGTTACCCATTCACCTACTGAAGGAAATCTTAGCTGCTTCCAAGTTTTGGCAATTATGAATAAAAATGCCTTAAATATCTGTGTGTAGGTTTTGGTGTGGACATAAGTTTTCAACTCCTTTGGGTAAATACTAAAGAGTGCAATTGCTGGATTACAGAGTAAGACTACTTTTAGTTTTGTAAGAAAGCACCAAACTGCCTCTCAAAGTGACTATACCTTTTTGCATTCCCACCAGCAACAAATGAGAGTTCCTGTTGCTTCACATTCCTCGTCAGCATTTGGCATTTTCAGTATTCTGGATTTTGGTCATTCTGGTAGTTGTGTACTGGTATCTCATTTCAGTTTGCATTTCTTTGATGACATGATGCAGAGCATCTTTTTATATGTTGTTTTGCCATCTGTATACTTTTGGTGAGGTGTCTGTTAAGGTCTTTGGCCCATTTTTTAATTGGGTTCCTTGCCTTCTTACTGTTGAGTTAAGACTTCATATATTTTGATAACAGTCCTTTATCAGATATATCTTTTGCAAATATTTTCTCCCAGTTTTTGTCTTGTCTTCTGTTCTCTTGACTTTGACTTTTGAAGAGCAGTTTTTAATTTTAATCAAGTCCAGCTTATCAATTCTTGCTTTCATGTGTTATACCTTTGGTATTGTATCTAAAAAGTCATTGATATACCCAAAGTCATCTAAATTTTCTCTAGTTATCTTCTAGGGGCTTTATAGTTGCATTTTACATTTAGATCTGTGATCCAAATGTAATTGTTATAAAGGCTGTAAGTTGTACATCTAGATTCATTTGTGTGTGTGTGAATGTCCAATTATTCTAGCAATATTTGTTGAAAAATTATATTTTCTCCATTGTATCGCCTTTGTTCCTTTGTCAAATATTAGTCAACTATATTTATGTGGGTCTATTTCTGGTCCCTCTATTCTGTTCCATTGATGTATTTGTCTATTCTCTCATCAATACCACATTGTCTTGATTAGGGTAGCTTCATAGTAAGTCTTAAAGTCAGGTAGTGTCAGTCCTCCAACTTTGCTCTCCTTCAATACTGTATTGGCTATTCTGGTTATTTTGCCTCTTTATATAAACTTTACAATAAGTCTGTTGATATCCACCAAATAATTTTTTGGGATTTTGATTGGGATTGCATTGAATCATAGATCAAGTTGAGCACTCACATCTTGACAATATGAGATTTTTTTCCCTTGGTTTTCCTATCCATGAACATGGAATACCTCCCCATTTATTTAGTTCTTCTTTGATTTCATCCATCTAAGTTTGTAGTTTTCCTCATATGATCTTGTAGATATTTTGCTTAATTTATGCCTAAGTATTTCATTTTGGGGGGTGCTAATGTAAACTACATTGTGTTTTCAATTTCAAATTCCACTTGTTCATTGTTGGTATCATTTTATTTAATTTTAATTAAAATTTAAATAGCTTCATCTTGCTTGTGGCTACCATTTTAGTCTAGTCTCTAGAAAATACAGTCATGAATTATTCCTTTTTTAGGAATTATTGCCTTTTAAGAATAAATGTAAATGGGGATGCCTAGGTGACTCAGTTAAGTATCTGCTTTTGGCTTAGGTCATGATCCTGGAATCCTGGGATGGAGCCCCACATCAAGCTCCCTGCTCAGCAGAGTCTGCTTCTCCCTCTTCCTCTGCCCCTCCCCTTGCTCCTGCTTTCTCTTGCCCACTCTCTCTCTCTCTCTCTCAGATAAATAAAATCTGAAAAAAAAGAATAAATGTAACGTTATTATTATACCAAAGTAAAATGCTGCACCAAAACATATACACTGACTTACTTATTTAATATATATGAAATATATCAGGCACTATATACCAGTTGTCATACTCATGCTATGGAGCATTGAGGAGCTCAGACTATTTAGAGATGTAGTAAATAAAAACTGCAATACAGTTTTGCTTGCTATTATAGACACCTGAATAAAGAATTGTGGGGACACTCCATACAGAATAATGGTAGGAACTTATTTTTTTTTAAGATTTTATTTATTTATTTGACAGAGACAGACATAGCAAGAGAGGGATCACAAGCAGGCGGAGTGGGAGAGGGAGAAGCAGGCTTCCCGCTGAGCAGGGAGCCCGATGTGGGGCTTGATCCCAGGATCCTGGGATCATGACCTGAGTGGAAGGCAGACGCTTAACTACTGAGCCACCCAGGCACCCCTAACGGTAGGAATTTAAAAAGGTTGAAGAGTTTTATTTAATCTGGGACATCATGGAAGAATAAGTTACAAAATAAATAAGAGTGTGGTGCTGTGAGGAATAGGACAGGCATTCCAGAAAGATATGGAGTCCTGCAAAGGCTTGGTGTGTCTAGGCCACTACGTCACAGGTGGTGTGCAGTAGTTGATGCTGCCAAAAAGTAGAATCCGGGCTCATAGAGGCTTATTTGGTAAGGAAGAAGTTTGAATGCCAAGTGGTCACATGGTACACTATACTTTCCCTACTGCATTTATAGTTTATACTAAGTACTTTTTCTAAAAAATCTGCTTTATTAGATTTATAAGTTGTTTATGGCAAGATCATGCCTGCCTTACCAACCAATGTACTCCATGATATCGGATAGAGAATCAATAAGTCTTTGTTATATGAATGAATGTTTCGGGTTGTTCTGAAGCTTGATATCCTTTGGAACCACACCACCTACCCTCTTCCAAGCTACCTTCTTGACTTCTGCTGGTCCACCTCTTGGTTGGCAATCACTTTGCCAAACAGTGTGGCTGTTTGGTGGCAGTACTTAGTAACAGGTTTTGTGACTGTGTTCTCTGCATTTTAAATAAAGTTGGGAACTTTACTGGACAAGTACCTTTGTGGCATTGGATTTGAGTCACCCCAAATAAGAGACTGAGATTGGAAAAGAACTGGAACAATTCCCCTTCACCAACTCTATAGCGCATGCAGTTAAAAGGAATGAAATTTTTTCTTTTAAAGTGAAAAGTTAGGTATAAAAGTAAAAGGGGACAAGAAATTTACTCCAGAGTAAATACCTAACTTTTACTGATATCAATGCAGGGGAAAGCAAAATAAACGTGTCTTTTTCCTCCTCCATTTCATACGTGGCCATTTATATGTATTATCGTATGTTTCTATTTCTTCGTTGCTTGATGGAGCCAATCTTCCCCAGAGGAGAAATAGGAAAGAACAGTCTAAATCTAGAACGACATGAAAGCAATGCCCAGCCTTTTTGGTACCCCAATTAGTCATCTTTGGGCAAAAAAATAGAGTACCTACCTTCAGTACTGTCTCCCACTTGTCCCCCAAAAGGTACTCTGTGCTCTGTGCCCACGTAAAAATTAGCATGATACCCAATGGACTGCTCCTTGTAAATAACTAGGCAAGAAGAGATACTACTAATTGCAGGCACAGGCACATCTCCTCCCCGCTCTCTCCCCAAAAAACAAATGAAGGGCAGAAGAAAAAGAAAATTCGTTAATCAGATTATCAGTGCCCTGAAACATTAGTTACAATACAAAGACCGAAAGTGGCACTTTCTAACTTTCACAACAGGGAGGGCGCCCTGCCCCTGCGAGGTGGGCGGGGCTACGGCTCTTCCGGCACGCCCCTGCCGGCGCGGGGCGCGTGCGTTCGGTATCTGCGTCGGGGGAGGAGTCTCTTGTCCCTCCGCGCGGCCCGTTCCGCCTCGGCTCCCGCTGCATTTAGGCTGACGTGTCTGCAGTCCTTCTGCCGCTTGGCGAGTAGGGCCGTGATGGCGGATGCCTGGGAGGAGATCAGGCGGTTGGCGGCTGACTTCCAGCGGGCGCAGTTCGCCGAGGCCACACAGAGGTGCCGACCCTTCCTCTCCGTTGCGGAGTCCAAAATAGCCCCAGGGCAGCCACGCAGTGATCTGAGGCCGGGGATTCCTGGCTCTGGACCCCGCACCTTCCCACTCTGTGTCACCGTTTCTGCCTTCTCCTTCCTCCCATAGCCTGGATTGCAGTTCCAAGTACAGTTCTCGGCGGTGAAGCCCGAAAGCTACTGTGGCCCGGAACCCCGCCAGCCATGCCCCGCCAAGGGCTGGCGCGCCCCGCCCTCTTGATGGCCGAGGCTGTTGACTTCTAGCGGTGTTAAGAGGGTCCCTCTGATCCTTATTTACCCGTCAAGTCCCTATGGCATCATTAACTATTATACATTTCCTCACCTAGAATAAGCTGGAAAGGAGAGGCTAACGCCAAAATACAGTACTTAGAAAATGCTATGTTGACTCTTAAAACATTTTGCCTTTTTGTGCACCGGAAGAGTTGTGCTAGGCCAGACCCATGGTCCCATCTGTCATTTTTAAGGACTCCTGGACACTAGCATTTCTTGCAAACCCAGAAACCTTGGGGGGATGTGCCCTGGGCATCCTAGTTCTGCTTTTAAATGTTACAGAACACATATACAGTGTTAATCGAATCCTTTTTTATTCGTTGACTATTACTTTCGATGTTTTTGTGCCCTCTGGGGCTTGAAGACCTTAATTCCTTAATACTGTATTTTGTAGCATAGAGAGCAAACTAGGGCAAATGCTTAAGTGCTTGGATGACAGTTGCAGTCATGGTTTTCCTAGGCCATATCTCCAGCCTACCGACCAATAGTAGTGAAGCAATCACACACTTAATTTAAAAGAAAATTCTGGTTTGTTTGGTTTTTTAGTGAACTTAAACTAGAAATTGAAGTAAAAGGGCAGGGTTTTTTCCTACCTAAATTATATGTCCTCACTTTTCTATTCAGATTTGAAGAGTAGAAATAGGCCCAGAGGAGAGAGCAGACTTGAAATTCTGTAATAGAATGATTTGTACGAATTAGGTACATGATTTAAGCTTATGTAAACCTGCTTGCTCCCAGGAGTTGTTTTTTTTTTAACTTACTGAATCAGTATGGTTATACTAATAAGAGATACAGATTTTGTAATATAGAACCTAGTGACTCTTCGCCCAAACTTTTTAAAAAGCCCATTTCCATACGTTGTTAATTTTGTTAAGCACAAATGTATCAAGTTCATTTTTAAAACTTCTTGTGTCTCTCAGGTTGTCAGAGCGGAACTGCATTGAGATTGTGAATAAATTGATTGCTCAAAAACAGCTAGAAGTAGTTCACACACTTGATGGGAAGGAATATATTACACCCGCTCAAATTAGTAAAGAAATGAGAGATGAGCTACATGTCCGAGGTGGTAAGTAATTCCTTATTTTTTTCCTCTGGTTATTTGGAAGGGAAAAAACAGCTTAAAACATAAATAGTAAATTATTTGGAGGGTATAGGACACCCTTCTCAACTGTTAATATAAAAATCAGCCTTAATATTTTTAATAGCTTCAGGTAAAGGTGATCATATAATTTAAAAGAAGTCGAATATTGTCACCTTACAAAACAGCATCTTTTATTATTATGAGTTATGTGTTCTATATGTGAATTAATCAACTGTTTCTTTTCTTAAATTCAAAAGATTTAATTCATAAGCAGAATTAAATGTATAGAACTCTCTTTTTTTTAGTTTTATTATGTTATGTTAATCACCATACATTACATCATTAGTTCTTGATGTAGTGTTCCATGATTCATTGTTTGCGTATAACACCCAGTGCTCCATTCAATACATGCTCTCTTTAATACCCATCACCAGGCTAACGCATCCCCCCACCCCCTCCCCTCGAGAACCCTCAGTTTGTTTCTCAGAGTTCAGTCTCTTCATGGTTCGTCTCCCCCTCCGATTCCCCCCCTTCATTTTTCCCTTCGTATTATCTTCTTCTTTTTTTTAACATGTATTATTTGTTTCAGAGGTACAGGTCTGTGATTCATCAGTCTTACACAATTCACAGCGCTCACCATAGCACATACCCTCCCCAATGTCTATCACCCAGCCACCCCATCCCTCCCACCCCCCCACCACTCCAGCAACCTTCAATTTGTTTCCTGAGATTAAGAATTCCTCATATCAGTGAGGTCATATGATACATGTCTTTCTCTGACTTATTTCGCTCAGCATAATACCCTCCAGTTCCATCTATGTCGTTGCAAACGGCGAGATTTCATTCCTTTTGATGGCTGCAATGTAATCAACTGTTTCTATTCACAGTCCATGAATTTATTGCATGACTCAGGGGAGGGTACCTAACTATCTATCATCAGGTGGTAATTATGAAAGGAGAACAGAGATTTTAAAGGATTATAGATTGTTGAAACATCGGGCTATACTACCACACTCTAAAAACTTACCTTTAAGTATTTGCAAATTAGGAAACAGTATGGTGCTACACCTATTATAGTGTAGGAAATGCTATTACAAGCACATGAAGTTTTTGTTTTTGTCTTTTTAAAATTTGAACAAACTGAGCAAATTTGAACACTGTTTGATTAACATAGAAGCAACTATGAAAATAACTCTTCATTAGATGTTATCAGATATACCCTTGGTCTTGGTTCATCTTCCTGCATAATGCTAATAAAATATTAGGTACAATTCGGAATACTTGGCAGATTTTCTTTTGCCAATAGGTGGAAATCTTCTCATTCCAAAAATTTAAAAAGTTCATCTGAATTTAGTTGTATCTCTTTGGTCACAGTAGGTAAATTGTGAAGGGAGGTAAATCTTAAGTCAATAGGTCTGGCCAACTTGTGAATCAGCTGATGTTCATTATTGGCCTGATGTGACCTAATGAAACTTCAAAAGTAAATTATTGCCTGCGCCTTCAGCCATAAAGAATTATTCTGCTAATGGTTTGTATTTGAAAACATTAATTATTGTGGCTTTATGTCCTTTGTTAGAAGGAGGACTTCGACTGCCCAAAATGTAAATCTGTCAATATTTACAGTTTTTGGCTTGTGTGTACTTACATGTAAATATGAAATCAATAAATGTCTTTTTTTTAAAGGTCGGGTAAACATTGTTGATCTGCAACAGGTAAATTTTAAATTTATAAAACTTTTCCTTTCTCATTTTTTTAGTATTATGACTTAAGTATTCACTAATACTGGTATCTTATTTTGTATAATGTTTGTGAAGAAATAGTTTTGTAGTCCTCACTAACACATTTAATCAATTTAATAAGTTCTGATATATTGAATTGATTTAATAAGCTCTTCTTTCTCAGCTATTTACTTATTCTTTACCAAATAAACTCATAGTTGTCATTTTATGTAATTACAGGGTTTATGTAATTTGGAGAGAAAAGTAACTATATGCTTTTAGTATATGGAAGGAATAGGGAAATTTTTTAAAGTAGAAGATATTTTTAGAACATATAAGTGTGTATGTCATTAGCAAGGTACACTATATTACAAGAAGTTGGAAAATCTTGTGTAAATTGTGCCTATTGTATGACAATGTAGCTTCTTAATGCAAACTTTCCTAGCAAGTGAAAATGTCGTTGTTCAGAAATGAAAGTTAATAAGCAATAAGCTTCTAATTTTTTATTTGACTGAGACTTTTCACAATATTTCAAATTAATTTGAAATTCATCTAGGAGAAAGTAAGTTTTTAAAAAGGTAGTTCTAATATGTAACTTCAAACTCAAGAAACAGTATGAATTTATCACTAATAGAAATTCATTTATTTTCCAGGTAATTAATGTGGATCTGACTCATATTGAAAGTAGAATTGGTGACATTGTAAAATCAGAAAAACATGTTCAGCTAGTGTTGGGACAACTGATAGATGAGTAAGTACAGTATTGAAGAACATTTTTTTGTGTTTCTTTTTTTTAATAGTGTTTAAATTTAGAACAGTTGTGACCAGTTTGGCATTCTGTTTAGAACTCTCATATGCTGATTTTCATCATTGAGATCATTGTACTTAAAAAGTAGGTACTTAATTAGATGGAGTACTTGGAAATAATAAAAACTTTGATTTTTTTTTTTGCCTATTATTTTAAAGCAGCACAAAACATAATTTTTACAATCTTTCCTATATGATCTTAACTCAGAGCAAATCGCTTCCAAAACTGTTAATGAAAAACGTCTGCGGGAATTTACATTGTTAAAAAAAAATCTGAGCATTTATCATTTGGTTGACCTTATATTTAGTTGCATTGATAGGAAAAAAAAATTTCAGAATATGAGTCATGAATTGTGTTTACCTAAACATACCCTATTCATTATTTTGTTGGCATTTATTATTGCACAGAAATTAAACATAAAAGAGGAAAATCATTACTCCTAATTTTTTTTTTTTAAACTCTTAGGAACTATTTGGATCGGTTAGCAGAAGAGGTAAATGATAAATTGCAAGAAAGTGGTCAGGTCACCATATCAGAGCTGTGTAAAACCTATGATCTTCCTGGAAACTTTCTGACACAGGTATTTTTTCTTAATAGTATAACATCTTTTCAGATAAATAAAGAATTTTAATTGGAAGAAAAAAAACTAGATTTTCTTACCATTAATTTTTTGTAAGTGTTTGGCTATTGTTGTTGTAGCAGTATATTTTGGGGATACTTCCTGTACATTGATGGCTCTGATTAGATCATTTAGAAGATTATTTCTTTGTTCTTAAAATAGTTTGACATTTTAAAATTATAGATATTTCTTTTGTACAATGGAAAGTGCACAGGCTTTGGAGTTAAACAGACTTTGATTTGAATTCATTTATGCCACTGTTTAGTTATTCAGTGTTAGGAAAATTATTTCAACTCTTTTGTGCTTCAATTTACGTATCTTTGAAATGGGAATAATTATCTTTTTCATAGACTTTAATGAGGTTATATATATGGTGTATCTAGTGAGATGTCTGGCACAACGGAGGTATTCAGTAAATGATGATTTTGTTTTGTATTTATTGGAATAAATAAGAGAAAAGCCAAATCTCTTTTTAGGTGTATATCACCTTAAGAAAATCCAGCTTATAAAAATTTACCAAACCATAATTGCGTGAGATTAATTTATAATACAAACAGATTTACTCACCCATTTTGAGAGAGTGATTTCCTATTATTACATCTAAAATACCATTTGAATATAGACCTATTTTATGTAGCATTTCAGGAGCCTTATTTCTATTTTAAGTGAGCAAATGTATTTTAATCACAGAAGATCAAAAAACGTACTTTTAAACATTTTTAAAGGTATCAGAACAGACCCAAATGATTTCTTATAAAACTGTGCTGTTGATACACTTTGTAAATATGTATGTTTTCTTAACATTTTTCAGTTCTAGTTTTTCTGAATATCATAGGCAGTATTCTAAAAGCTCATTAAGAAGTTTTTGGAAATACGTTTTTCTATATAAGAAAGTATCAGCCAGGCTGCCTTGAGTTTTAACTCATCTTGGGATGTGAAATATGTCCAGACTCATTTCAGATGTACCTAACCCAGTCATAATATAGCTATGGAGAAATACTCTTGGGATTTCCAGGAACTCATGCCGTCTGCCAGTAGAGATCTCTGGGCACCAATAAACTTGTTAATATTTGCATCAGAGAAGAGAACTTTTTAGGTCATATGTTTCCCTAGGTTTCAGAGTCTTGGAATAACATTTATTTTACTCAGTGTTCGAAGCTCCAGATAGGGTCTTCTTCAAGACGCGTATATGTCTCAGCTGCCTGTCTGTTTCAGGCTGCCTCTGTCTAGAAAATTGGTTAATCAGTCACTTTTATTTTATATTAGAAGTAGCCCTTCTTAGCAAGTAGCAAAGCCTTTTAACATATCAGCTATATACTCACTCAATTCTTGATTCTGCTCTGAGATTATGAAGTTTCCTAGATCCTAAATCTTCATTTTAGCTTATATATCCTATGAATTTGTGCTTGTTGAAATTTCTCAATCATATGGATAAGACAGCGTCAGCGAGCAGCATGACTTTATTAAGACTATACAATTATATACGTATGATTTTGTTCTTTCAAATTAATAAAAATTTGCATCTTTACCCCCAGGCACTAACTCAGCGACTAGGTAGAATTATTAATGGACACATTGATCTTGATAACAGAGGAGTCATATTTACTAAAGCTTTTGTAGCTCGACATAAAGCACGCATCCGTGGACTGTTCAGTGCTATTACCCGGTAAGCCTGTTCCATTTTTTTTAAAGCCTGTTTTAAAATATGTATATTTTTACATATCTTTGATCATGGTTTGCTTTTTGTTTTTCTATCGGCTTTTTTTCTTTTCTTTCTTTCTTTTTTTTTAATTAAAATCTCATGCAGGGCCCTAATTTTTTAGACATATAGAGGGTTGGTAGCTTCTGTGAAACGGGAATGGGCATGCCAGAGCCCTAGAATGTAGCTAGACTCTCTCCGACCCACATCTCCTCCCACTCCCCATGTTAATCACCCTCATGACTCCAGATGCGGGTCTACAGAACACTCAGTCAGTATAGAAAGTCATCCTGGGATCATGGAAGGAGCGTGCAATTTAAAGTCAGAAGTTCTCAGGCCCTAGCTCTGTCACACAATAACCACGTGAGCTGCAGCAGATAAGTCAGTCACCTAACTCCTTTGAGCCTCAGATGGGACTAGGTAATTTTAGAACCCTTTTGACCAAATGACATTCTACAATTCTAATGACTAACAATATTCATTTCAAAATCACTTGAACTTTTTCTAAAGTAAGAATTTCTGAAGTGTTTGGAGCCTGAGTGACAGTCCAATATGGAATTAAGAAAACCTACATTCTTAATTATCTCCTCTCTCCTGTGTCATTAACTTTATCTCAGTGGTTTTTGGGTCCAGATTTCTCCCATTTTAAAACATCAAACCTGTCTCAACCCCATATTCCACTCTATCTACCACCGTATTCGTCCCTTTGCTTAAAGTAAACCATCTCAAGAGTTGATGTCTGCGTTTACTGTCTTAGTTTTCCTACCTTCTGTCATTTCTCAACTCTCCCATCTGGCTTCTACCAGCTTACAAAGTAATGATGTCAGTATCGTGAACTCTCATGGATCCTTTCTGACCTTGTTTTATTTGACTTGGCAGCAGCAGTATTTAACTCCAGTTCCGTCTTCCTTCTTGAAATGTTCTCGTTCCCTTTTTTTTTTTTTGAAACATCACATTTTACTGCTTTCTTCTTCCCTCCTTTGGCTGTACCTTCTCAGTCACCTTTTCCGGCTCTTCCTCCTTTCCCTAGCCTTTATGGTTTCCTTTCAGGCCATCTTTTCTTCTTAGTCTGGCACTGTCTTCCTAGGTGACTTTACCTTTCTTTTTAATTTCAGAATCCTATTGCCCACACAGCATCTCTACTGAAATGTTTTACAAGTCCCTCTAATTCAACATATTTAAAATAACTCACTGTCCCTGAGCTACCCCACCCTACCCCACCTGAATTTATTCTTCCACTTGTGTTTCCACTTTACTAGTCAATGTTATAAATCCGGTAGGTTTTGCCAGAGTCCTTGGAGTCATCCTTCACACCATCCTTTCTTTCACTACCCCCTTTTTCGAACCCAAAGGCTTTTGAATTCTGTATTCTAAATATTTATGTAATCTTTATTTGTGTGGCGTGACCGTTCACCCCACTTCAGTCCATTTTTTAACTAGACTATTTTAGTAGCTTTCTAACCAGTCTCCCTTCTTTTACTCTTATTACCTTCTGGAACATGGTTTTACACGGTAGCCACAGCAGTTTCTTTTTGTCATTCAGCAAATCAAAAGCATTTATTGAGCACCTAATACATGCAAGGCTCGGGTACAAAAGACTAGGTTAGAGGAGAAAGCTTGCCAAGTTAGTGCAACCATTTTCTTTTTTCCTTTCTTTTTTTTAAATCATCTCACAATTACAGAAAAATTGCAAGAGAACCTTTTTCTTCTGTCCATTTGAGAGGAAGTTCCTAACATAGTATCCCATCACCACAGATACATTAGTCTGTGTCCTACAAACAAGGGCATTGTCCTGTATAATCACATAACTATAATACAGACGTCAAAATACTGACATTGATATATTCCTGCCACCTAGTCCTCAGATCTCATTCACGTTTTACGAGTTTTCCAGTAATGTCCTTTACTGTAAGAGGACCCAGTTCAGAATCACATATTGCATTTAATTGTCATGTCTCCTTAGTCACCTTCAATCTGGAACACTCACTTGGTCTTTTTTTACTTTCATGACCTTGACACTTTTGAATACCACAGGCCAGTTATTTTGTAAAATGTTCAATTTTGCTCGTCTGCTGTTTTTTCATGCTGATGTTCAGGTTATGCATCTTTGACAGGAATGTAACCGAAGTGATTCTGTGTTCTTGTCATTGAATCCTAGCAGGGGTACAGTTTAGATTTTCTAGTTACTGATGGTGTGCACTATAACTTCTTAATGAGGAGGTATCTGTTAGGCTTGTCATAAAGCTACTTTTTTTTCCTTTATAATTAAGTATCTGTGGGGAAGGCAAGTTGAGATCTTGTAAGTTACCCTGTTTTTTTATCAAACTTTCAGTTTATTCATTTATTTAAATCAGTATGGACTCATGGCTCCCTATTTTATCCATTGGATTAAAATCTATTATCGTTATTTAGATATTTTTAAATTGGCTCTGATTTAGCCATTGGCCCACCCTTCAGGCTGGTTTCTGTGTCCTTTTAATATGACCCCATCACTCTTGGAGCACTTCTTTCTGGTACAACAAGAAGTTGTAAGCTCAGTTCATACTTCTCTTCTCCCAAACCTGGAATCGGCCGTTTCCCCAAGGAACGCTGCCTGGTTCTTTTTAGTAGAGTATACTATTTAGAAACCAAGATCTGGACACTGAATTGCTTATTGCTTATCACTGCTCCCAAGCCTCTCAGCAGACAAGTTAGGGGATACACAGACACATGTGTATCCACCCCTCTTTGAATCTATATTTTTGTATTTTTATGTTTATCAAAAACCATGAGTTCACACTGATACTCCGCAGTTCCCGTCCAAGCGCCCAGGTAGTTTTGCCCTAGTTCTCTCCTTTTCCGTATTTGCAACTTCCTTCTCTGACCCTGAGAAACCTAGTTCCCATTTTCCTTAATATACTGTTGACCCTTGAACAACACAGAGGTTAGGGGCACCAACCCCCACACCGCAGTTGAAAATCTGAGAATAACTTTTGACTCCTGCAAAACTTAACCACTCACAGCCTGCTGTTTACCAGAGGCCTTACCAGTGTCAAATAGTCGAGTAACATGCATCTTGTGCATGTTATATGAATTATATACCATATCCTTAAAATAAAGGAAGCTAGAGAAAAGAAAATATTAAGACTATCATAAGAAAGATGGGCCGCCTGGGTGGCTCAGTCAACTAAGCGTCTGTTCAGGTCATGATCCTGGGGTCCTGGGATCCAGCCCCGCGCTGGGCTCCCTCCCAGCAGGGAGTCAGTCTGCTTCTCCCTCTCCTTCTGCGCCCACCCCCCCCCACTTGTGCTCACTCTCTCTCTGTCTCTCAAATAAGTAAATCTTTAAAAAAAAACCCAAGATTATCATAAGAAAGAGAAAATACATTTACAGTGCTGTACTATATATATTTTTTAAAAATCTACATATAGGGGGGCCCAAGTGGCGCAGTTGGTTAAGCGTCCCGACTCTTAGTTTCAGCTCAGGTCGTGACCTCAGGGTCGTGAGATCGAGCCCCATGTCAGGCTCCACGCTCAGCACGAGTCAGCTTGGACTTTTTCTCCCTCTCCCTCTGCCCCTCTAGCCTCTGCTCATGTGCTCTCTCACTCTTTCTCTCAAATGAATAAATAAATCTTTAAAAAAAAACTACATGTAAAGTGGACCCGTGCAGTTCAAATCCACGTTGTTCGAGGGTCAGCTAAATTTACTTGTTTGAGTGATTCCCCTTTATGTACCTGATTTCCCGTTGCTGCTGCAGCTCTCTTTCCCATGTGGATGCCCTCCTTTCTCCACATCGGCTCTGACAGCCTGTGCCCTCCTAACACAAGAAACTGATTAGCAGTAGTTATTTCTGGGAGAACTGGGTAGCTGAGTGATAAGAATGAAGGGGGATTCAGTTTTGTACCTTTTTGGTGCTGTGTTTTTTTATTACTTGGTCAAAAAATAAAAACAAAATATGTTTTTCTATTGACAGTTCTTTTTCTTTGACTATTGCGGTGAGTGTGGTTACCATCAGGTTTGGCAAATAATATTTTTTCTGACTCACAGTAGCCCTGAGTTTCTCTGTGTAGAGGTATTATGCATATGCTCAGCACCTAATTTAGCGTAAAATAACAATACTGTAAAAAAAAAAAAAAAAGCATGAGGGCAAAACAAATTCTGAGCCTCAAAAGATGTTGCTAGGCTGTGTGACTTCCAGATAGTTTCATTTAATGTACCATATCATCATATTTGTCTCTTAAATATAAGGGACCCTCCCCGGCCCCCACTTTTCTGGTCTAACTTCAGAGAAAACACCTGCATCTCTGATTTTAAAAGGGTTTATATTGTTGTTATAGGTAGCCAGAAAGAAGATCAGGAAATAAAACAGTGAGATATATAGGTATACTAAACTACATTGTATTCCAAATTGAAATAAAAATTCAACAGCTAAGTTTTATTGTACAAAAAAAGCTAGAAGTTTTGTGCAGTTCAATTAAATACTTACTGAAAACCCAAATTAAATTATGCACGCAGAAATTTTAAGATAAAGTCCTTCAAAAATGTGTTCAGGTAGAAGGGAACAGAAAACAAAAAATAGAACTTGAGAAGATTGTAATAATAAGATAAACAGAGAGCAAACTTCACCAAGCACTTAAATGGACCTGATTGATTTGGGGGTTCTAGATAATTTACCTGAAACACTAGGATAAATTAATTTAATAAAAAAAAATCTACATTAGAATTTGATAAAAATAATAATTTGCACAGTGGCAGTATCGTAGCCAATGAGGTTTACCCGAGGTGCGATTATTGCTAATTGAAAATAATAATTTAGCCAAAATTCCCAAACACAGGGGTTTTAAATATCAATTCATATTCAGACAAATGTTTCTGCTCTCCCAAGTTTGTCATAGAGAAAATTCATAACATCTTAAATAATCACCAGAGAATTGAGTACTTGGAATAACTTAAAAGTCTCTTAGGTAGATGCATAAAAATAAAAACATAGACTAAACCCAAACCAGAAAACAGGCATAGTTGCCTTAAGATGAATAGGGAAAAATATATAGTCATAAAAAGAAAGTCTGTGTTGTTTTCTTTATAATTTCCCTTACTTAAAAAAAAAAGATAATTATAAAAGAAAAGCATTCACAGGGATCTACCCAAAAGAAATAAAGAGAGGGTGCCTGGGTGACTCAGTTGGTTAAGCGACTGCCTTCGGCTCAGGTCATGATCCTGGAGTCCCGGGATCGAGTCCCACATCGGGCTCCCTGCTCAGCAGGGAGTCTGCTTCTCCCTCTGACCCGCTTCCCTCTCGTGCTCTCTATCTCTCATTCTCTCTCTCTCAAATAAATAAATAAATAAAATCTTTAAAAAAAAAAAAAAGAGGGCAGGTACTGAATGGAGCACTGGATGTTATATACAGACAATGAATCATGGAACACTACATCAAAAACTAATGATGTAATGTATGGTGATTAACATAACAATAAAAAATTATTAAAAAAAAAAGAAATAAAGAGATATGTCCACACAAAGACATGTACACAAATGTTCATGCAGCATTATTCATAATAGGCCCAAACTGGAAACAGTCCAATTGGTCAACTGATAAATGAATAAACAAAATGTGGTATCTCCATACAGTGAAATGCTATTCAGCAATAGAAAAGAGTAAATACCGATTCATGCTTCATCATGCACGAACCTCAAAATGATGCTAAGTGAAAAAACCCAGACATAAGAGACATATATTGATTCTATTTTTATGAAATTTCTAGAAGGGCAAATTTATAGAGGCAGAAAGCAGATCAGTGGTTCTCTAGGACAAGGGGTGGAAGCAGGAATTAACTACGAACATCTCTGAAGGAATTTTTTGGGTGATGGAAACATTCTAGACTTAAGAGCTATAGTGATGGTTCCTCAATTTTATAAATTTATTAAGATGCTTGAATTGTATGTAAATTATACCTCATTAGAACTTTTTTTTGTTTTTTTAAGAAACACTGTCATTACAGAAAATAGTGCTAAACAAAAAGGAGCATTTTAAGTGGATCCCTCCCAGTCCTCTACCTAATCTGGGAGTATATCATTCCAGATTCCTTTCACTACATGTATGATTTCACTTTTCAAAAACAGATTCAGAGAACATTCACTTGGCTCTTCCTAGGTGGAGAAAGAGCCTCCCAGAGGGAAAGAATAGAATGAAGAAAAACGAACATAAAATAAAAGCAGATCGGGTATCATTAAATCTGAGGTGGTAATTGGTGAGAAAGTGAATTGTTCCTGGATTGTCGATAAAAATCAATTCCCCTGGGATTTCAGTAGTGTAATTCTGATTAAGGATGTAAAATCTGGTATTATTTTTGCCTTCATTTTTTTTCTTTTAAATGGGTTTTTCATAAACTAGTTATCCTAGTGATTTTTATAATTCATAAATATGTGTAACTCTAGAATGAATAAGGTCTTTTTATTTCTTTCCATAAAGGCCTACAGCAGTAAATTCTCTCATTTCAAAATATGGATTTCAAGAGCAGCTGCTTTACTGTGAGTTTGCTTTAAATTATGTGTCACTTAATTAGCTGCTGAATAGACTATTAATGTGAAACTTACTAATTTTTCATGTTTTGACTTCTTTTAACCTTAAAACTTACATAACTAAAATATTTCTAGTTGAAAGGTTTTGCTATACCAATTTTCATGTATATATCTATCTGTTATATCCACCAGACATTTAGTGTTGGCTACCCCCAAAGGAGTAGAATGAAAAACAAATTGTGTGTGTGTGTGTGTGTGTGTGTGTGTGTGTGTGTGTGTGTGTGTGTGTGTAAAATACTGCTATATTTATATATATATACTGCTATATTTATATATATTTATAGAGAGAAATTTAAAATTGTAGGATTAAAGAATAATTTTCTCTTTGTTTCTTACAGATTCTTGCTACATTTTCTAACATGAAAGTAAACAGTGTTTGTCTAAAAAATTTTTAGAGGTACCAGCCTGGCTCAGTCAGTGGAGCATGCGACTCTTGATTTCAGGGTCATGAGTTCAAGCCCCACATTAAGCATAGAGCTTACTTACTTAATAAATAAATAAATAAAATATTTTAAGAAATAAAAAGTAAAAAAATTTTACAAAGAGGATAATACCAGGAAAAATATGTTTTTAGCATTCAAACAGCATTGTAATATATCCAAAATAGCCTTGGTTCATAACCTATGTTATGTGTATGTTTGTGAAGCTCTTATCAGGTTTTGAGGGGTTTTTTAAAGTCTTGCTGGAATAATTCTTAAAAACAATGACTTAGGGCACCTTGGTGGTTCAGTTGGTTAAGCGACTGCCTTCAGCTCAGGTCATGATCCCGGGGTCCTGGGATTGAGTCGCGCATCGGGCTCTCTGCTCAGCAGGGAATCTGCTTCTCCCTGTGACCCTACCCCCTCTTGTGCTCTCTCTCTCTCTCTCTCAAATAAATAAATTAATTAATTAAAAAATAAGTAAATAAAAACAATGACAGTCTCTTGGCTCAGATATCTGTGCAAATAGAAGAATTAAAATGAAGGCTGGAAAAGAAATTCATGTATAAAACCAAAAGTTAGTTTTAATTCACTGTATTTTTCAAAATATGCAGTTAAATTTGGGTTTTTTGTTTAATAAATTTAAAATTAAAGATGTAACATATATTGGAATCTACTAATTGGAGATTAGTGGGATTTCATGTAAAGTTCTTCAAGTAATAATTGATAACTTGATACTTAGCATGGATTTATTTGTACAGTCACAAAATTTAAAATTATGTGTTGCAGTCTGTTGAAAAATCTAGACTTTTCTAATGTATCCTAATTTACTCAGCACCGAAATCTTGCAAGCTAATTTTTATTTCTGATAAAGACTAATTTTCATAAACGTTTCTTTGCCAGTCATCTTTTGACTGTCCTTTCTGATTTGCTTAGAAATAACTCCTTCCTATCTGCTTTGTCTTTTTCAGGGGATTTTGATATTTAAACAATAAAATGTTTAGTTAAATGTTATGATTTAAATAAAAAGCATATATTTTATGTTAATGGCAGTACCATCCAGTTCTCAGACTGGCATCAGTCTTTTGATGATGATGATAGTGATTAATGCTGCTGCTGGTGGTGGTGGTATTTAGTTAACATTTGCTGAGTGCTTATTATATGCCAGCTACTGTTCTGAGCAGTTTACTTGAATACCACAATTCTTGAGGACACTGACCATTAGCCCTATTTCATAGCTGAGAAAGTGGAAGCATAAGTAAAATGACTTGCCCGGTTTTTGTCAGGGAGTAGGTGACTGAGTTGAGATTTGGATGTAAAGGGTGTCTAGCTAGATCCAGATCCATCCTCTTAACCACAGCATTATACTTCTCTTTCATGTGCTGCAATTTAAACAGTAGAAATGTAATAACATAAAAAAACAGTAGAAATATAATAACTTTTAAAAATTTTCATGGCTTTATTTCACACAATTGATTCTAATGTGATCCAGGGGTCTTAAGTTTTCTAAATATGAGAAAATTGAACTTGGAAACACTTAGGGATTGCATATTATCTATTCTCCAAGTGTTTAGTCATCCACTTTCAAAAAACGTATCATAAAATAAATAAATGGCATGGTTTTTTCCCCCAAAATTAACTAAAATATTAAATGTTAATGTTATACAGTTATAAGTTCAGCACTTTTAGCTAGTTGCCAGAATTTCCTAAATTTGTGACCTGAATATTCTCATAAATGGCAGGAAAGTTTTGTCTAAAATACAACGTCTTGGGACGTGGCTCAGTGGGTTAAGTGGCTGCCTTCGGCCTGGGTCATGATCCCAGCGTCCTGGGATCGAGTCCCACATCGGGCTCCTTGCTCAGCAGGGAACCTGCTTCTCCCTCTCTCTCCCTCTGCTTGTGCCCTCTCTGTCAAATAAGCAAAATCTTTAAAAAATAAAATAAAATACAACGTCTTCATTTATGCAATTTAAACTTTAAATTGCTTTTTTAAAGGATAAGAATAACTAAATTGTGAAATAGTATTTTACTTTTGAACATTTATACCTGCTCTGATTTATTTGTATTTGTTTGGTTTTGTTTTAAGCTGTGCTTGAGGAACTCGTTAATAGTGGACGTTTACGAGGCACTGTGGTTGGTGGCAGACAGGATAAGGCGGTGTTTGTCCCTGACATTTACTCCAGAACACAGAGTACTTGGGTGGATTCCTTTTTCAGACAGAATGGCTATCTAGGTAACTATTTCTTTTTGTCTTTGAAACTAAAACTTCTTTCTAATACTGCACACATTCTTATAAAGTATTGTATTAGTGCTGGGAGTACACACATGCTCTGCTATTGACAGCAGCTTATAATGGTTCTCTTTGAGTGTAAAAGTAGCCAAATTACAGATTTTTGTTGGTTTTGCAAATGAGTTTAATTTCATAGTTATTGAACAGTTGTAATGTGGAAGGGCCAAAATCTGGTATTGATTGTTACCAGTCTTCCAGTGATATGATACTATTACAACTTCAGGTATATTTGAAGTCATGAAAAGTAATTTTATTTATTATATCTTATATTTTATGAAGTTGCCCAGTTATTCAGATACATAATCTTGGAAATACTTTATTTTCGCTTTCAGCTTTACAATGTGCATTTTTATTAGTCATCCACTTCAGAAAACCTGAAGCTATTCTAACTTCTGTTTCTGAGGTTCTGTCATTTGGATAAAGTAGATTGACTGAATTTAATCATTAAAACAATTAGCAAATATATATGCACACATGTAACATATATATTATGTGTGTACATGAGCTTACTTAGTTTGATCAGTTTCATAACCCAGGTCAGATCATGTAAGAGATCAGTTGTTTTCTCAGTAATAAACCCATAAGATACTAATGTTCAAACAGTTTAAATCTATGCTAGAATACTGGGTTTTGCTTAATGTTTTCTTGGCTTTCTGTAACGTACTTTTCAGTTTCTTCAGCCATGGACTTGGATCAGAACTTCGTTATAATTAATTTTCTTAAATATGATTATTTGGGGGCAGAGCGTACAATAGATCTCTCCAATAACTTTAATGGCTATAAATTTAAGTCTTTTTTTTTTTACTTTTGTTTATATGCTAAATCTAGTTTATATGCCAAATCTAGTTTAAATTAGACTAGGGAATTACTTTGTCCTAAGTTGTCTGATACCTTTAGTTAACTGTAATAAGCAAAATAAATTCCAGTTTTTGCTTCTTTACTAATAAATTATTACATTCTCCTTAACTCCCGTTTCTACTTTTTTGATCTATAGTTCTCATGTTTCCCTTTGACCCCTCAATTAAGGAGGGTGTGACATAGCTGGGATTGAGGAAGCATTTGAACTAATTTTTCTACAGCTATGTTTAGTAATAAAAATTTGGGAAGGTAGCCAGCCGCCTAACAGGAAATAGGCTGTGGTACATTTCTATGCTTTATTCTTTAAAACAAACAAAACAGAAAAAGTGCGTTCACAAAGAATAGGTGTTGGTAGAACTTAATTTTTCTAAGACTTCTAAAAGATATGAATGATTGACAATTCTGTTCCAATGTATTCTATTCCATTTCTATTTGTGATATATTTCTAGAATTTGATGCTTTATCCAGACTTGGAATCCCAGATGCTGTGAGCTACATAAAGAAAAGATACAAGACTACACAGCTCTTGTTTTTGAAAGCCGCTTGTGTTGGTCAAGGACTTGTGGATCAGGTGGAAGCATCAGTAGAGGAAGCCATCAGCTCTGGAACATGGGTTGATATCGCAGTATGTTTTATCTTCTTCTTGTTAATTTTTCTTTAAACCAGTGACCACTGATATTCACTAGTATGTGGTCATTTTAAGTATTGAGATACAGAAAAGTAGTCTTGGCTTTGTAGCCAAATTCTAGCAGTCACTGTTATAGCAAAAACAGTTTTAATTATGCTTAGAGACTTTATAGCTTTTGAGGTAGAATGACCTTTTATATATGGATAGTCAACATCCAGAATTCCATAAGTCTCCAGACAAATAAGCAAACAATGTAACACTTTTTTCAGGCCTGCCATTGAAATTGATGAGATTTCTCACAATCTTATCCAAGCATTCACAACTTTACTGGCATCAGGCATTATATAGTATTTGTGTATCCCTTATCCATTCGTTAACCTCTGCTCATGTATTAACATGAGCTGCTTTAGCCCTGGTAGTGTTTACTTCAGTGTTCAGTATTGACCTGCCTTTATTATGCCAAAGAGATAAGTGTAGGTGAAGAGAAAGAAACAAGAGGCCATTCCATTATTTACTAGTCAGGGCAAAGTAGAAAATTACTTGTTTTGGATACACAAGTTTCCAGAGGTTCCAGATTTCGGTGTTCATTTATTCATTCAACAAATTTTAAGTACCATCTGTGTGCCAGGAACCATTTTACTTGCTGGGAATGTGGTGCCCACACAAGTTTCCTAGGTGGAGATAGTTAATGAAAATGGTAATTTCAGATAGTCCAAAGAGCTAAGAAATCTATTTTGGAGGTAAAGTTGTCAGGACTTGATGGTGGATTGTTCTTGGGTTTATGAGAGGAATTGAGTGTGACATGTAGGTTTGGGGCCTGATCAACTGCATGGAGAACAGTACCATTAATTGAGATGGGGGAACAATGGAGAAGGGTGGGTGGGACCTAGGTGTTGGGGGTAGGCGGCTGCAATCAGTGTTGTTCTGGACATGTGGAATTTGAGATGCCTATTAGGCATAAGAGCAGAGATGTTAGGGAGGCAGTGGGCATATAACTCCAGAGCTCAGAGTGATGATGAAAGCAGAAATATAATTTGGGAGGTTATCAGCATAGAGATGGTTCTGAAGGCCACTGGACTTAATGAGATCACCTAGGGAGGGCATATATGTGTAACAAATGGTTTGTCTCTCTGATACTGTATTTATACTTGTTATCTTTTGTTTCTGATTCTAGCCTCTGTTACCCAGTTCTTTATCAGTTGAAGATGCTGCCATGTTGCTTCAACAGGTGATGAGAGCATTCAGCAAGCAAGCTTCAGCTGTAGTCTTTAGCGACACTGTTGTCGTCAGCGAAAAATTCATAAATAACTGCACAGAACTCTTCAGTGAACTGATGCACCAGAAAGCTGAAAAGGTATGCCAGATTTCCTTTCCCTTACTAATCTTAACAGGATTTTCACATTAGAATCATCAGACATCTTTTTGAAAAATGGAGTATGCAGCATATACCCAAAAGTGAACACTGTGTTTCATGCATCATTTTCCTTTAATGCATCATTCCTTTCTTTTTCTTCTTGATTTGTTTTTCCCCTTCTTCACTCCCATCAGGACATATAAGTTAGAACGTAGGGAGCTGATTTTATAAATTGAAATTATATAAATGAAATTATATACTTCACAGTTAAGTCACCTAAAGGTCTTAGTCCAACATTAAAGTCCACAAAAATGTTATCTTTGGATTATATGCATAAATATACAGTATATCAATCAATCACTACACTATATATTTATATGTATAAATACACATATATACATAAAACAGTTTACATGATTTAAGTGTGCCAACTCATCCTACATGGTCATTCTGTTAGGGTGAGGGATGGAGATTTTGTTAATCTCAGGTAGCCAAGTGGCGCTGGACTTGGGAGCCTCAAAAAGAAGAGCAAGGTCACCTAGTAAGCAGTGGTTAAAAGAAGCCAGATCAGCTGAAGAGGTTGCATCTGATGTGTGATCAGTTTTTCAGGGACCAGATAGGATTTTTCATTATTTGATCACAGAATCAAAAAGTTAAGAATAGCAAGGGAAGAGACTGATCTTTGGCAAGGAGAAATAGTTTCAGAGTGGCAACTGTTGGACCAGGCTCTATAGTTCTTCTTATCAATGAGATCGAACAAGAATAATTAGCATGAGTAATAATAATTGAGTATGTAAATAACTTCTATGTTTTCTATAATGCCATATATTTTTGCTTACCAAAAACGTGTTTTATTTCAGGAAATGAAAAATAATCCTGTTCATTTAATCACTGAAGATGATCTGAAACAGGTCTCCATTTTAGAAAGCATTAATACAAGTAAAAAGGATAAAAAAGATGAACGAAGGAGAAAAGCAACAGGTAATAAATTATTATTAACCAAGAAGATTCAAAGATGAGTTTTATTTGTTGCAGTGAACTCTACATTTATTAGGTCCTTTGAAGGGGATTTATCTTTAACTGTTAATATTAGCCAAATCTTTTCTTAATGAATTAAATTTCGATTATGAAAATGGAAATATTAGTGATTGCTTTCTCTTTTTTTATTTTGTGAGAACTAAGTTAATTTCATGACCTGGCCCATGTCCCATTGTTTGCCCCCTCACCATCTGTGTTCCAGCCCAGTAGCCTTTTTTTTTTTATTCTCAGATTTGGCAAGTTTGTGTTTACGTGAAAGCCTTTGCATTAGCTATTCCCTCCCCCTGAATGTTCTCTCTCGAACTTCAGGTAACAGATTTCTTCTTCTCATTCAGAGCTCAAGTTTAAGTGTTAGTTCCTCAGAGAGGCCTCCCTCACCACCTGGAATGGTAGACATGGTCACTCTCCATCATATTATCTTCCAGTCTTTTTTGTATTGCTTTTAGCACTGTCTTGCGTTTTATTGTTTGGAAACCTTGTCCATCTTGTTTATTGTTTCCCTAGTCCTTAGAGCACTTGTTGGTGTATTGTAGATGTTCTATAAATTATTTATTGAATGAATGAATTTCCCAAGGAGATCTCATCATTTCTTTCTTTCTTTTTTTTTTTTTTAATTAAGAATCACTGGAAATTATTCTAGGTAGCACTGGTATACTAGTAACTTGCATTTGGAAATTAACATGTGTTTTCCATACTTTTTATAGTAGGAATGATTTTATTAGTCCTATATCAGAGTTAAAGAAACTAGATATTCAACATGTTTCATTAATACAGCTATATTGAAGATGTGTTATAAAAACTTCATTTTTGTTGTGGGAATTCACTCTGTTTTCTTTGAGATTGTTTCTTTCCTCTTCAAAAACCTTTTTCTAAAAAATCTTTCAATGTTGATACTTTGAAATTTCTCTGTATTTTTCTGGGAAAACCATACTCTAATAAATCATGGTAGTATTCACAGCCATGCATATTTTATCATATTATTTGAAGATGTGCTTATAAATTCACCTTAATCAGTTGGTTGCACTTATGTCAGAATAGCTAGTTTGTTTTATTTCCTTCTAAAAATTCAGAGTCATCTGGTCATCATCTCAAGGATAGTACTATCATATCATAATAGTTTAGATATAGTGCATGGAATAATGTCAAATTTAAATGTCTTCCCTCTAAGAAATTTATTGCCAAATTATGATTTTGAGAGAATTGTGTTTTTTTTTAATTTCCAAGGTTATCTTTTTTTATTATGTTAATCACCATATATTACATCATTAGTTTTTGATGTAGTGTTCCATGATTCATTGTTTGCGTATAACACCCAGTGCTCCACGCAGTATGTGCCCTCTTTAGTACCCATCACCAGGCTGACCCATCCCCCCACCCCCTCCCCTCTAGAACCCTCAGTTTGTTTCTCAGAGTCCATAGTCTCTCATGGTTCGTCTCCCCCTCCGATTTTTTTTCCTTCATTCTTCCCTTCCCGCTATCTTCTTTTTTTTTTTTTAAACATATAATGTATTATTTGTTTCAGAGGTACAGGTCTGTGATTCAACAGTCTTACACAATTCACAGCGCTCACCATAGCACATACCCTCCCCAGTGTCTGTCACCCAGAGAATTGTATTTTTCTATCATAAAAGCAAGGGAAAATAAATTAATAGAACTTACAATTATAGGACATGATGAAATTTAAAGGAATTGTACTTAGAACTTAGAAAAAATCTGTAGTTTGTATGTCATTTTACTTTATGGAAAATTAATCTTTTATGAAGAAATATAGTTTCAATATTTTTCGGTGTGTCAATCCCATTATTAGATCAGTATTCTATTTTGTTGAATTGATACTTTAAATGTAAATATGTAAAGCAGAGAAACATCTCAACATTACTTTTATTTACAGTGTCTTAGTTTGTCTCATAATTTGTATTTTTTTAGTCTTTCTTTAGCCAATAGGTGATTGATAACTATATTTTTCTACTCATCCAACTTAATATTCATGGTCAGCATTTATTGAGCTCCTTTTAATGTGTCAAGCATCGCTTTAACCCCAAGGATACAAACATTAGTGAGCCATGCTCCCTGTTCTCAAGAAGTTCATTGTCTCGTTGGTTGGTGGGAGACTCAGGATGTCTCCTCTAAACATGAATAATAATCTTTCAACCAAAAAGACAAAACCAGGGGTAATTAAACTTGTGAAGTCCTGTAATAGGGGATATTAATGAGGCTGTAGTAACAGAGATGAGCAAATGAGGGCACATTTCTTCTGGGGAAGGTGGAAGAAGCAGTAAAGGAATGGGTTTGGCCCAGACAAAGCCAGACAAAGCTATAGAAAAGAGGTATCCTTAGTGAAGGAAAAAGAGACTGTGGAAGAGCCTGCCTTTAGAGCAGGTAAGCTATCTACATGAGTTGCTCAAATTCAAGAGATTTCACATTTTATTAAGTTTTTATTGACGGAATTACAAAACTTGTGTTGTAATAAAAAAAAAACTCCCACCTTAAATAGCCACTAAAAGTTTAATTATTTGGCTTCTATTGTTCTGCTGTAAAGTTAAATATGACAATATAGTGTCATCATTTCCTGAAAATCTCCAGTTAGCTAATACTAACTATGTCATTTCCCACCAGAGGGCAGTGGAAGTGTGAGAGGAGGCGGCGGCGGCAATGCCAGGGAGTACAAAGTTAAAAAAATCAAGAAGAAAGGAAGAAAAGAAGAGGATAGTGATGATGAGTCATCTCATACTGGTGTGTAGCTTTATTTTACTTTTCCTTTGAAAGTGTGTCATTTGCAAACATTTTCTTAAGATGTAGACCATTAGACGTGTATGCTTCTGCAAGAAGTCCTTGCCTTGCACAGTTTTGCGCACGAATTTCAGTTACCACGGCTTAGTTGATGACACCAGCCCCCCATCAACATGGTTCATATTCTAGTTACCAGGGTGTATTAACAGTGAGTACTTGTATAAAGTACAGGCATTGCTGCTGGCTCCTCGGGCCATTGATCAGCACATGAAATAATACATGTGCATCATGAGCTATGACAATCACATCACTTGTTTCAAAGTCTGTCAGCGATTGATCCCTGTGCGTCTCTTCTTCACTTTATGCCCAGACAACAAACCATGTAGTTATGTTGCCTCCTTGTCTCCCAGTGATGAATCCCTATGACATTTTGCGAAATGGATAATCAAAAGGGAACTGGCTAACAAAGATGAAAATGCAGCCAAGAAATGAAAAGTGATAACACTGGAAGTAAAATATGAATCAAGAATAAATGGTATTCGGGAAGAACTAGCTGACTGTGGGAATGTTGGCATTGCCACTGTTCAGGAGACTAGGTATGCGGCCACAGGAGCTTGGCAGAGGCACACTTACTGACCAAATGGGGAAAGTGGTTGTGACAGAGAGGATGAAAATGTCCTAGAGGATGTGTAGTTGGCAGAAAACTTCATGTTAAAGGAATTCCCAGAGATGTTTCACAACATTGAAAGGGCAAAGGATAAAATGCTGTGAGCTGATCCAGAGTTAAAAAAGGAGAATGACAACTTGCCAAGGCATAGAAAAGATGCTTGCTCTGTATTGTAAGTTACAGCCTGAGAAGGCAAGCACTGTTCAGACTATTTTTGGTAAGTTTTTTACGAAGAAAATACTTTGTTGCCCACTATTTCTGATGAGCTAAATTATGGTATACTAAATTATGAGTATTAGTTTTCTTTTTCATTTCTCTTTACATTTATAACCAACAGTAAGAGCTCTTAATGTTTTCAGACATTTTTAAAAAAATCACAGAACAATCGTAAGTTCTCCCATTGTTTGTTAAGAACACCTTGCACAGTTTCAACTTGCATAGTCATTTTTATGGTTTCCCACTGCCCTACAAAACAAATTATAATATTTTATTAAAAGTGGATTTCTGCATATTCAAGTAGGAAACATTGAGTTTATGCATATTTAAGTTTTATGGTAACATCTAACTGGTTGGTTGCTTCTATCTAAGGGGGAGAATTAAGCATACGCATCTTCCTTTTTGGAGACTTGTTCGCATTTGGTACTGTTAAGTCAGCAAGAGACATGTTAGTTTTTCTAGGTAAAATTATGATTCTTTTATATTGTGTTTTAAATATATTTACTTAATGAATCTATGATACCTCCGTTTTCTTTTTCCCTGGTAAAAAGAGAAGAAAACTTGAAATGATGATAATTTGAAATTTTTATTTTACCTCTTCCACAGAGCTCATTGTGTATGGGCTAGAGCTGGGAGGTGTAGGTATCAAGTGACACGGCTTTAGCCATTAATGTGCTAGCACTAGTGATAGCATCATTGCTTAAGATCTATGTTTAAAGTATTCTTTACTTTACGTAAAGAATAAAAATAAAGACAGGTAAAAATAGCTACTGTTCTCAACATGCATAAAACAATATTAATTAAAATGGTCTTCATAGAAACTACTAGCCCTGTTCTTATTTTAAATAGTATTAAGACTGTCCTATGTGCGTTTTAATTTTCATTGATAAATGAATTTCTCTATTCCCCAGATGTACTAGGGGTGGGAGAGAAGGGGCATTTCACAAAATATTTCTCTAATATCTGTAGCTTTAAGTAATTGTTAAATGAGGCATATGATACTCCTTTTGTGCATAGATTATGGAGAAGGGCTATAAAGGTAGTAAAACCATTCTACCTAAAAAGATATAATTTCAGTGCCTTTGAAAGGGGGTTGTGTTATAATCTCTGAAATGGGGGATGTAATTAGGTTCTCAGCTAAAATACAGCATCAACTCAGTGTGAAAGATTACTAGATGGAAATATAACTTAATAACTTATAAAATGCATGCAGGAAGCAAACAGAGAAAGCAGACACTATGTGATGTGAAAGTTCAGGAATAGATAGCAGATCTCAAAAAGAAAGGATATTGGATCTGTTCTAACGTGTCCATCTGTTCTAAAGCTGTGATGTCAACTTACTTACTGATTTTTGAGCTATTTTTTAATTTCTTTATTTTACTATTTTTTTATTTTTATGTCTAAGGTTTTACAATGATCAAATCTAGCTGCAAATAATCACTTTTATATTTTTACAATAATAATAATGGAAATATTGTTAGTTTTTTTTGTCTGCAACCCGTGCTTATCCAAGTCGGTGAGAAAGCATGACATTTCTACACTTAACAATTATTTCCATTACGGTAGCTGCGTACAAATTTTTCCTGGCATAGAATTATTTTTGTAAGAAGAAAAATAAATGATGAGTGTAAAATTATGAGGTTTTTTTTCATCTTTGCCTTTCCCAAAAGAGAATTTTTAGCTTAATTCTACTGGAGTTGTAGTTCACATGATTATAAAGGCTTTTCCTGAAGATCTTCTGTAAATTATAAGGATGATTTGATTTTTAGTAACTATTCATTTTTATAAAGAAGGAAATTCTGCTGAGTATACATTGTTCAAAAAAGAGAAGTTATCTTTTTCTTAAAAGATTTTTTTTTCCATCCAGTTGATTATTTTGATTTGCCACTATTTGCCTCATCCAAGTTAGATCAGGGGGAAAATCATCTTTATTATTTTCTGATTGACATTAGAACAGTCATTAAATAAAGTTAGAAAATTATTACTCAAAAGAAATGCCACTCTGTGTCCTATTTTTAAAATTGTTTTCATTGGTTATTGCTGTCTGACGCTGGCAATGTCCGTGAATGAATTACCATCTTAATGGTAATTTAATTACCATTCAATATGTTAATGAACCTTGTTTGCTTTTAGGTTGCTGTATGTTTTTGTTGTTTTTCCTATTGTGCGTTTCTGCTACAGGAAAGAAGAAGCCAGAGGTCACTTTTATGTTCCAGGATGAGATTGAAGATGTTTTAAGAAAACACGTACAAGATGCCCCTGAGGAATTTATTTCTGAACTTGCTGAGCACTTAATAAAGTAAGTATAAAAACATATTTTTTCTGTTTTATGATAGAAATTCAGTGAGTTATTAAATAAAATTTTCACCAACATCATGGAAAGCATAGCTTTTAAGTCTTTTCTTTTCAAAGCTTAGAATTTAAGCTAGCCACCAAATTCCAGATTTTGTTTGCTGTATGCTGTTCCATTCAACAGACGTGTAAGTGCTTTGGGCGAGGCAGTGTGGGAAATAAAAGGTGAGAGTGTGGAGGCATCCTCGGAGGTCATTGATGCTTCAGTCCTAGTTGGGAGAAAAACCCCAACACCAGTCACTGGCTGTTCTCTGACATAGCATAAAAGGTAATATCTAAAAGAAAGAAAAGACCATTTTCTATCTAGATTTGACAGAGAATAAACAGTGCACTTTTAGGGAGAAATAAAGTAACAAACTGTGTTCAGAGAACAAATTTAGACAGCACTAGCTTGTAATTGAGCCAAGCTAAATTTATTTTTACACAGAAGTAAAAGAAATTGTGTATAACTTGACCATTACTGATATGATTTTCCCTCAAGTTAGTTCCATTGTGTAAGCATCTATAAATGCAGTCCAGGAGCCCAGTGCATCTAGCTTTGAATTTAGAAATATAGTTTTTGTAGTGAGATTTTTTTTCATTTCACTGAATATTTTTTGTGCATGAATACAGTACATAATCACATTTTTCATATGTAAGAAGGTAGTTACTACTAACCATTTGCCATTACTTAAAATAATCTGTTCTGAAGTTGTTGAGCATAAAAAGTTTTAAAATCGTTTATAGAACTTTAGAAATTGAGAATTTATTATTCCTATGAATAGGGAACAGATTTATGTCCTATTCTCCAAATTAACTTTTAAAAATTACTTTGGACCGAATTTGAATTAAAGCTTTTGTTACTGCTATCCTTACTGTCATTAGTGCAATAATTTTGAGTACTTTAAAACTGAGAAAAATAATGCATTTAAGTTATAAGTCCTAGGATTAGAGGACAGATTCTTGTGAACTATTCCCCAAATTAATCTTTAAAAAATATAGAGGTATTTTCTTAAGGCTTACTTCCATAGAAGCAAAATTTCTTATATGCATAAATCCAGTGCGTGTTAATAAACTAAATATATTTATCTTGTGCACAGACCTCTTAATAAAACTTACCTCGAGGTGGTACGATCAGTGTTCATGTCTTCAACTTCTTCTGCCTCTGGAACTGATAGAAAGCGCACAATCAAGGACTTGCAAGAAGAGGTTTCAAACCTATACAATAATATCCGGCTGTTTGAAAAGGGGGTGAAGTTCTTTACAGGTATACTTAAGACTGTTTTTTCATTGATTTTCATAATTGTTCCTGGACATTATTTTAATAAAGCACCTTTATTTTCCAGATGATACACAGGCTGCTCTTACAAAGCACTTGCTGAAGACAATATGTACTGATATCACTAACCTCATTTTCAACTTCTTAGCTTCGGATTTGATGATGGCAGTAGACGATCCTGCAGTCATTACAAGTGAAGTATGATAGTGATTTTCTTGCCTTCTTGATGTATTATGTTTTGAAATAAAAGCATATTTTATTTTCTCACATCAGAAGTAGTCTGAAGGAAAGTAAAATAAAAGGGTTTTTAAGCGAAAAAATCCATCAGATTTTTAGTTTAAAATTGGTGATATAACCAGTCTGTTAAAAGTAATAATGCTTAATTACTTTGGAATCAACACTTTATTTTTTCCTAACTATTGTTAATGTCACATCCCCTTTTCCTGCTGCGTTGCCAATCCCTCGACTGTTTTCTGGCCAGATTCCATAACTTCGCAGTCATTTTCATGTTAGTGACACCGTCTCATTTCAATGTTTAGATGAATTGCAGTTTATTTGTTAAAATGCTAATCTCAAGCTAAAGTCAAAGGTAATTTCTTCCTGTCTCAAAAATGGAAGGTAGAGCTGCGGCTCCCAGTCGCTTCAAGAAGGAAAGGTGTGATGTGTCCCTGACACTCCTCCTCCTCTTCTTCTCTATCCCTGTACATCTGCTTAACGTTGGAGATTTAGGAAAAATGAAGGAGGCAAAAGGGTTTCGTAGGAGTGACTACATATCACTGGTTATGATCTAGGTCCCGTGCTGTGACCTCCTGATGTGTCTCTTGCCCCATCGGTGGTGTAGGTTGTTTGGGGGCCTATTTTTTAGCAAGTGACAACCCCCGTAGCAAGGACCTCCTCCTGTACCTCCAAACAGAGATACATTTATTTCTCCCTCCTACCCCGGCAAAGTACTACCCCCCCTTCCCTTCTTCAGCTCGAGCAGTGAATCTCCAGCTGCCTGGACAGTTCCATGGATCCTGCCTCTGTGCTAACCTCTGCTGTGGGAAACACATGGGGTCCCGTCCCGTGCCCTTCAGGGGCTACAGAAGAACTGGTGTGGCATGTGACAGGGAGTCGGTAGGTTTCCGTGGTCTTCCAAGACTCACTGTAACTTGCAGGACCTGCCAGCCAAACCATTCCACTAGGCGTCCACCAGAAATTTCACACTCGGTAAGGCCATCAGGCTCTGGTCAAGAATGCCATCATGTTTCACGAGACACCGCTGTGTGGAGAGCGGTGCCGAAAAGATTCCACCCACCGTACAGTGTAACAAGCAGCCATCCATGGAGCAAGTTCCCTAGTTTATAGGCATTCTGGAACTTAGGAGTGGGAACCCTCTCATCTGGCATTAGGGAAGAACACTCTTCCTACCCCAATGGAAGAGAGAGGGAGTAGCCTCTTAGCCCAAATTCTCTTTTCCCCACAAGATGAATGGTTTTCTTTCCACCCCCCACCCCCCATCTTCCTCTTTGCTGCTGGGCCAGAAGGGAGGCGCAGGGCTATATCTAGCCTGATTGGCTGATGCTGTCGGCTAGCTCTCCGATTTTAGAATGTTTTTAGCGTATTTTTGTCCCTAGTTTGAAAGCTAAAATTCAAAAACAAAGATCAATTCCATTCAGTACTCTATTATAGTAGTAAATATACTTTGTTTTCTTTTGTTTGATCTTCTGTCTACCACATGTCAAAGTCACAATCCCAAAAGAGTTTTTCCCCCTTCCAGGTAAGAAAAAAAATTTTAAGTAAATTATCAGAAGAAACCAAAGTATCTCTCACAAAACTCCATAGCTCTCTGAATGAAAAGGTAAGTAAAGTTTGATTCTGTTTAGATAAATGGGGCTAGAATGTGTGATCTTTGAGTAGATTTTTATCAGCATAAGTGTAAATTAAATCTCTTTGGGAGGTGAAGGGGGGGAACAGACTGGGAACATTTTATCCTAAATCACAATTTCAAGTTTAATAACAAAATGACCTTTTTAAAAATTATATTTCGGTTGTAAAATTATAAAACTATTGAGTAACTCTATTTCTTTAGGCAACCTGTTAATAAAAGTAAATAGTGGCATTAAATACCATTTCAGAGCATAGAAGACTTTCTTTCTTGTCTGGATTCTGCAGCAGAAGTTTGCGATATTATGGTGAAAAGGGGAGACAAAAAAAGGGAAAGGTAACATTGAATTAATCTGTATTATTAATAAATTCTTAGGTGTGTGATATTTCATATCCAAGGTTGGAATTTGACTACCTGAATCTTGCAGAGAGAACACTTGTATCCACATGGCTGCCTACCTTTGAGCATATTCAGTATATAGGTGGCCCTCTCCGACTGGTATCGATAAGGTAGCGAGGTTCCCTCAGCCCATAGTTGAGCAAGCCTGGGAACTTCATACTGGCTCTGAGGCCTGCTTTACGGGAAATCTGACCTGTATCAGCACACTTCTGTTTGATTCCCAACAATTCAAAATAAAAAGTACACTTTGAGGATCCGTGCTATGTGTCTTCTCTATCATTTTCTAGCATATTAGTTTATCCACAGTATTGAGGGTTAAGTGTGTCTATATTTTGTATTTAAAATGTCCCTTAAGATGTTTATGGAGCTAGATAATTAAACTAGAGAAGCTAAAAATGAATACCGACGGGAAGAACTAAAATTGGTGAGAGCTTGTTAAAATATGAGAATGTGTTTTTGTGATTTTATTTTTGTGTAGGCAGATACTGTTCCAGCATCGACAAGCACTGGCTGAACAGCTAAAAGTCACAGAAGACCCTGCTCTTATTCTGCACCTCACAGCAGTCCTTCTGTTTCAGTTCTCAACCCACAGTATGCTCCATGCACCTGGAAGATGTGTCCCACAGATCATTGCTTTTCTTAATAGTAGAATTCCAGAGGTATTACATTTTCCATGCACTTGAAACTTTTAAAGCTTTTAGATTCTGCATATTTTGAATGGATAGATGTGAATCATCATGAACAATAAGACACAAAACATACTAATATGACTTCCTGTTCCGAGAATGTGAACAGTGAATCTGAAGATTGATTTTTAAAAACTCAGCATAGCTCAAGAATCTTTTGGGATTCTAGAAGATCTATTGGTAAAAAGAAGTCTTCTGTTTCAGTTTAGGCAAATTTAACCTGTCCTTCAAGGACCAGTTCCAGAAGTCTTACCCTGCACAAATTCTTCTGAGAAATTTCTCAGCTAAAAGGAATCTGGCTTCTTTGAACTCCCATATCACTTTGATTTAATCTCTGGTGATAGAACTTAGCTAAGTCAGTTTACATTAAAATGATCTGTATTTGTGTGTTATCACCCCTCATCTGTAAACTCCTTGCCAGCAAAGACCTTGCTGAATTCAGCTTTCTACTTACATGGCCAGTGACTTGTAAAGATGAAGACCTTCACTGTGTATTGGTTGAACAAATTCGGCTTGTTCTACAGAAAATTAAATCCTGTTTGTTAACTTTTCTTCTCTGTTCTCTTTTCACAGGATCAGCATACTCTTTTGATAAAGTATCAAGGTTTAGTTGTAAAGCATTTAGTTAGTCAAAATAAGAAGATTGGACAGGGAGATGATCCCTCGAGCGATGAATTAAACAAAGAACAAGAAGATATCACCAATACTACTCGTAAAGAGCTTCAAGAACTTTCTTCATCCATTAAAGACCTTGTTCTCAAGTCCAGGAAATCATCTGTGACAGAAGAGTAATGATCTTATTTACTTTTGTCATATAGAAATATTTTTCCCAAAGTTTAAAGTGAGTGGTTAGCAAAAAATATTCACTTCACAATCCTCGGTTTCCCCCAATAACACACACACATACCCCCCCACACACACACACAATTCAGTTTAAACAGTAGTGTTGTATTCAGTGTAAATCTTAGAAAAATGTGAAATTTTTGTAAAGTGGGTTCAACCATGGAAGACTTCTTTTTCACATTATAATTCTAAAAATTACCATTTCAGGTTTATTTTCAGATGCTGAATGAAGAATAAATTTTATGAATCTTTCATCTCTAGAAAAGGACTCATTTGTTGTGTTGTTAGATTTCAAGTGACATTCTTACAGTTATATACATATTAGGCAGAACTTTAAAATGTCATGTGTTTTTAAAAAGGGAAAAAAAACCCTTTGGTGTCAGAAATAAAAATCGTGGATTTTAAAATTAATAGAGAATGCTTCAAACCTAAAATACAGAAATTTGCAATTTTTTTTTTTATTATTATTACTAAGCCCTTGCTCTTATTTCTGGCAGATAGAGGGCCTCCCATATCCCCCACAAGAGTGAACTTTTATGTGGTTGGGTCTTTCAGGGAATGCCTTTACAGGTACAGAAGAATACCGGAGGGGCCCATATACCGCTGTAGTCTATTCTAACACAGGATGCTAACAAGTAAGAGAAAAAATAAAAGTTACTTCTTAAGAGGTATAAGTCACATTTTAACATTAGAATAACTAAAAATGTAATACAAGTATTTTTCTTTAACCAGTTTGCATTTCTCAGTGTTATATTTTTTATATCGGTAGTCACTCTCGCACCTAATTCTTTGTTATGGGAGGATCCTTAAGTGCATTGAAGTCATTGGAACTTTATTTTTTTCCAAAAATGAACATCCTTATAAGAAAATAGGTATACTTGTTTTCTAAAGACTATTGGTAGTTAAAAGTAACAAATAGTTCCTTAGGGTAATAATTTCAAGCAAATGAGTTTTAAGCAACAATTTATTATATATCAAAAAGAAATTTATTTTGAATATAATAGTTAAATCTCAAGTATCAAAAAAGTACTATTTTATATAATTCCTTATATGGCACTTAAAACTCTGTGGTTCAAAATGTTTGAATACAAATATCAGTCTACCTCTAATTCCAGACAAAGTATTCATACTGAGTGAAAGAAATTGATATAATTGCTAACTGAGCTAATGCTTATTAAAGTTGATAGGAATGTAACATAAATTTTAAAAGTGTTTTTCCATTGGTAATTTTCTATTAATGTATTTTCATATGGGCAAAGGAAGAAAAATGAAAAATCCTCTGTGACCACAAACTCCAGTTAGTTTTGTTTATTCAGTTTCCAAAATATTGAACACCCAGCCTAATGTTTTATTCAGTCTTTAAGAACCTTCTCATTTATGTTTCAGCAGATACCAAAGTAATCCACATTTGTGTCAAACTAGACCATAGACAATGAAAGAAATAAAATCGTTCTGACTTTCTTAATTTGTAGGAATAAAAATAGGAGAGACCACCAAGCAAATAAAAAGAAAACCATTCTATCTTGTTCACATTAATTTTTTTCATTTATCAAAATGGTTCTTATTTTTCCACAGTAAATAAGAACAGTTTTTATTGTTTTTGAAAATAAAGTTATCTAGCTGATTTTGTATGTAAAATTCTAATTTCAATAAACTAAAAATTCTGAAATGGTTATCTACTATGATCTCGATGGGCAGATTTAAGAATGTTATTAAAAATAAATTTGCTTGTTTCTATTAAATTTTGTGGTACTTTGAAGCTTTCATTATTTCAATTACTAGAATGCATCGGGCAGGTGTTATATGTAATGTATTTACATTTTAAAATTCTTATTCTAAACATTTTTCAAAGGTTTTCTTAAATTTTTCTCACACAAAAATAGTTCTGTAGTACTCAGTATCTCATTCCTTGAATGTTTGCCATTCGTGAACCATTTCACCTGAGTAAATCATTTTCAGTTAGCTGGATTTCAGCAGATGTGCAGCTGCACATCATATCTGCTACTTCCTGCTGTTGCAGATATAATGGAGATGTTTGAATAATGTGTTCGTGTGTTCCACCTTCAGACCATGTGTTTCTGAAGAGTCAAGGGAAACCCACTTCTGGCCATCAGAAGGATTCAGTGAACCATGGCATATCTTATCAAAATCACAGTGAATTTTCAGAGAAGACATTAATGCTGAATCAGAATAATAAGTGTAGAAGTTGCTTAACCTGAATATAGAACCATCTTCAACATTTTAGAAAATATATTTTAGTCAGACCATAAAGCACCAAGGATGAGGTCAAAGTGCAACAGTGATAGTGCAGCCTATAGGTTGAGAAGGAACAGTTCATTCCTTCCCAGAAATGCTACTCAACCCAGGGCCAAATGGGACTTTTTTTCTATCAAGGACTAACACGTGAGATGGGTAGAGGGTGGGGTCGGTGGAAGGTTTGCTTTCTTTGATTAATACCTTTCCCCCAGTGTATATGGGAGATGAAAGAAACACACGTAGATAAACTCCTCTGGGATGTACATTTTCCACAGAAATCTGGGACCACTATTGAAGTGGCCATTAAAATGGCCTAAGGATTCACACAAGTCATTTCACCCTGAAGACCGTACTAAACAAAAAAATAAATAGAACCCAAGAGAGACTTATTCCAAACCATCAAAAAAAGAAACCTTGACTTTCAGGCTTTCAGAAACACAGTGTTTATTCCATTTACATCACCAAACAAGAAGGAATTACTTTGAACATGTATTAAGTTTTTATAAGTTCCCAGTGTTGTTTTATTATTTGTTTTACCAGCCTTGCCTCTATTTCCCTTCAGTGATTAGTAGTAAGACTTAGCCTTGATGTGTGTTTAAAGAGCAGGAAGGAAGGGATTATGTTGTGTGATGAAGAAAAGGGGAGACATGGTGAATTTAAATCCTTGGCTCAACAACCTGGATCCTGTATGACTGCTACGCACTAGAAGTACAAATGTAAATCTTTAAAATACCCCTTGTTTTCAAGGAGATGGCAAGAATCAACAACTATGGTTCAGAATAGCATTTTGAGAGAAGTTAGCAGAGGATGCGGTGGGGGAAGAAATGAAAGCTGTCTTGCGCAGCGGGAGGGAACTAACCAGGCTAAAGATGACCCCCTGAACAGAGTCCTGAAAGAAAAGTAGGACTAGCCTCAGGGAAACGGGGGAAGGGAGAGCAGGCAGGCGTTTCTGGGAGAGGAGAGGAGATCTGGAAGTACTAAGACACGAACTAATACAAAATAATGAGACATTCGGGAAACCCTAAGTATGAGAAATAGGAGAAATGGTCTGGGGAAGTAGGGTAAGATGAAGCTGGAGAGACCAGGGGGAGATCCTGAAATTCCTTATATGTACGCTAAGTGAAAAAGTTTAGCCATTTTCCTGAAAACAAGGGAAGCCTTTCATGATTAACCAGGAAAATAAGGTAATTAGATTTGTCTTTTAGAAAGGCTACCCATTCTGAAAGACAGTTTGACAACTTACCAAAATCCTTTAAAATGAATTATTTGTGAAATCAATGTCTCTCCTATCTGAAAAGTAAAATGTGGACGTAATGTGTAGAAGTCTTTTTCCCAGCCCATAGGCAAAGAGGAGCATGGACAACCTGTCTTACACAGAAAGGAGACGGGTCTTCTTGGCTCTGAAATACTCTTGCTTATTCAGATGATAGTCCAACAAACAAACGAACAAAAACCCACCTTTCTCTGACTAGTCAAGCTAAGACAAGGGTCCCAAGGGTTTTCTCTTATGTTTCTTGTCATCCAATGTGAAGAAGAAAAAGCACTCCATTAAATTGCTTTCCTACTGAGCTTGTCTACTCGCCTAAAATGTACCTTTAACTTAACTCTATTACGTAGACTTTTTCTCCTTCCTGCTTTCTTACTGAAATCTAAGTCCTTGTGATTCATACAATATAAACACTCAGGGTTTCTAAGTTCTGGTGTTGAAAAATCAGAGAGAGAAGAGCACTATTCCATAATATATTTCGTGTGTTTCATTATATTGCAGCCTTTATTCACAACCACTTTAAAAATGTTTGATTTGGAAAATCATTCACAGTGTATATTAAGTAGAAAAGGATGCAGAACTATATATAATGTGGTCTTGGTTTTCTAATTAAATATACTGTGCAAACATTTGCATAAGTACATTTACATAAACATTTCCTTGTATAGTTCTATGCATGCATACAAAATATTCTGAAGAGATTTGGGTTAAGATTTGGGTTGTGACTGTCTCTTAGATTGCCAGTCATTTTAAATTTTATTTTCTCAGTTCTTACTCCAGGTTTTCTGCAAGAAGCATGTATTTTATGATTTGATAAACTGATATTTTAAAATACTGTTTTACAGTGATGTAGAGAAATGACAGGAGGGGACCAGACTGAGGCCAAGATACCTATTGTTTGAAGACTGCTACAGTAATCCAAGTGAGAAACGTGAGGATGCACAGGGACGATGCAGGGACGATGACAAATCTGAGAGAGATTTAACAAAGTAGAACCATTAGAAGTTGGGGAAGGGGATGAATGATTGGGGCTGGTGGAGAATAAGGGAGGACAGTCTAAGATGATGGCTTGGATGATTGTGTCATCCCCTGAGAGAGGAACTCCAGCCGACCAAGCAGGTTTGGCGCGGGGAGAAGATGAGGTGGTTTCGTAGGGACTTTTCAGTTTGAGGTGCCTGGGGACCTGTGGAAAAAGATGGCCAACGGACAACAGGAGACAGGTCTGGAACTTCTATGACACTGTTGGGAGTCATAGAATCGCTAGTGGTTTCCATAAGGAGCGCCATGGAGAGTGTACAGAGAAGCCTGCTGGACTGAGGAGGAAGCTCTAGGGAGGGGTGAGATGAACAAAGGGAGAGAGGCTGAGGGTGGTAAGAACAAGGAGGAAATCAGGAGCGTGTAACTTAGTGAAACCGAGGGCAAACTTCAAAAAGAAATAAACATGGCCAGAAATGAGAAATCTCAGGTAAGGTTAAAGACAGTGCCCTTTAAAGTACTAATTAAGACCTTTTATGAACTTGAAGCTTTTTTTGGTGGAGTAGTTCAAAGGGAAGAAGACACTGCAACTGTCTGAGGAGGAAGCGGAAGGATCAGAAGTTTTACCAGTGAATGTAGATTACCCTCTCCGGAAGCAGACAAGTAAACAAAGAAGGTGCTGGCCCCACACTTAGATGGCAACATACGCAATTTTATATCTCCAAGACTCCACTTCCTCACCTAGAAAAGGATAAAAATAATGCCTGGCTAACAGTAGTATCATGAGGGTTAACATCTATTACTAGTTGAATGTGCTTGTGTCCTTTCACTGAATCGATTTGTTGTTGCTGCTCACCATGTTTTCATTTTCATATCTTAATCATCAAATCCAGGCAAGTAGCAATGCACACAGTTGACTGGATTTGCATTTCCCTAACTCACGTTTTTTTATTGTATCTGCCTGAGTTCGATCTCAGAAAATATTCGTATATAATTCCTTTAGCACTTAGAACAAGAACAGTTTTTGTCTGGGAATAAATGGGGTGAAGACAGAACATTTCTTCTCTCATCCTCACCTTATAAAATGAAGAAACAGCCTCAAATAGAAGATTCTAGGAGCAAACGTCATTTGCTTTATGGATCAAATTGACCCACGGAGAATTCCTATTGCGGATTAGTTCAGTATTCAAACATTTCTTTAAATGCAACTCTCAAAATCTCTATCCACTTTTCATTTTTTTTTTAAGGATTTATTTGTCAGAGAGGGGGGGGGGGGGGGGGGGGGGGGGGGCGGAGCGGCAGGCAGAGGGAGAAGCAGGCTCCTGATGCGGGACTCGATCCCAGGACCGCGGGATCAGGACCTGAGCCCAAGGCAGACGCTTAACCGACGGAGCCACCCAGGTGCCCCACTCCACTTTTCATTTTTTAACCACAGATTTCGAAAGACCAGACAAGTCTCTGTTTAAATGAAGTCACACAGCCATGCCGTGACATAACAATCGTTACCAGCTCATAGGGCAATAGGCAAAGGCAGGGAATGGTAAGTCCACAGTGAGGTTCAGAGGGCAGGTAAATACCTGGAGTTATTCCAGTCAAATCCATGGCTCAAAGTTCTCAAATTTCCCAAGAAGGCAGTGATAGAGGCCACAACCCAGGATTTCTCTCTCAAGCAACCAAAAATTCTGCAGGTAAGAACATGGGGCCTCATCTCTTTCTAGATAGTTCAGCAGGAAAGCTCTGTAGGACAACCATTTCTAATCCTAAAAGATGGGTTCAGAGAGTCGTCAGAAAACAAGAAAACAACAAAAAAAAAATTTAAAAAAAAAACAAGGAAAAAGAAAATACATCATCCTTTTGGGAATTTTTAAAAATTTAAATATGCCCTTCATTTCGCCTAAGCAGTGGAAATTTCTTGAGTATGTATGTGAGTTGTCTCTATATACACTTTGTATTTTAAACTTTTTGGAGCTTATCCAGATATTCCAAATACTAATTTTGGCAGGATTTCCCTTTAAGGATATGCTGCAGAGAATTTGTTACAATTTGAAGTAAAAATTGACAGGGAGTGGTTTTTCAGGCCAGTAGGAGTCAGCTACGCGCACATCACAAGACTTGCAGGAAACCCACTCACCCTCCTATTTCCTTCTACAAAGCTGAAAAAGCTACAATTGG